TTTTCTGTATTTTCAGTACTTACTAAACCTAACTTGTAAAAACACATTAGCGTCAAACGTACAAGATGAGTCATGTACTACGTGACAGATATTGAACGAGTTAATCAAATCTATTACTCAGTGGTCACACTGTTTAGGTAAGTCAGTAGAAGTTTGTCACATAACGACAAAAGTTAATATATAGTGTTATTGTTTTAATAACACCTAGACTTTTACTAAAGGCAGCTCACAGAAAGAGTAATCCAATGAAGCTATTTATATTTGTACTAACTAATGCGTTTAAATCTTTACAAGACCAGTACTTACCCACTAAAGCTGTTTATACTCGTAATAATGTTTGTGAATCTCCAATAGAACAGTACTTATCCATTGAAGCTGTTTATATTCGTAATAATGTTTGTGAATATCCAATAGAACAGTATTTATCCATTGAAGCTGTTTATACTCGTAATAATGTTTGTGAATCTCCAATAGAACAGTACTTATCCATTGAAGCTGTTTATGCTCGTAATAATGTTTGTGAATCTCCAATAGAACAGTATTTATCCATTGAAGCTGTTTATACTCGTAATAATGTTTGTGAATCTCCAATAGAACAGTACTTATCCATTGAAGCTATTTATGCTCGTAATAATGTTTGTGAATCTCCAATAGAACAATACTTATCTATTGAAGCTGTTTATACTCGTAATAATGTTTGTGAATCTCCAATAGAACAATACTTATCCATTGAAGCTGTTTATACTCGTAACAATTCATCTGACTCTACACAAGAACAGTACTTATTCACTAAAGCTGTTCATATTTGTAATAATGCATGTGTTTGTGTGTAGAAAAGTTGTTCGTGCTTTCCAGTGGCAATGAGAAGGAAAGGCCTGAATCTTGTTTCAGGAAGTAGATAGTAAGTTATCTCACCAGAAATAAATATGGTATTATTTTATAAACACAGTATTACTATCAATATAAGCTTAATACTATAAACATAATAGTATTATGAGCGTTAAACATAGAGTTATTATGAATGTTAGGCTAGTACTAACATATATAGTACTAATATAATACTGCTATATACGAAAGCGCAGTACTACTATTATTATCCTGTTACTATCAATGTAAGCTTTATACTACTGCTATTAAAATACTGTTACTATCTATGTGAACTTAATACTACTATTATTAATATAATGTTAGAATCAACATAAGCTCAGTACTACTTATTAACATAAATTTCCTAATGTAGCCCCCCTAGTGGCACAGCAGTATGTCTGCGGATTTATACTTCTAGAAACCGGGTTTCTATACCCGTGGTGGGCAGAGCACAGATAACCCATTGTTTAGCTTTTTGCATAACTACAAACAAACAAATTATAAATGTAAGCTTACTATTATTATCACAATGTTGCTGCCAATAATAGCTTAGTACTACTATTATTAACATAAGTGGGTTTATTTTTGTACAGTTGTTGGTGAAGTTTTAATATTGTTACTTATTTTAATAATCGCAGGGACATAACACGAAATCCAAAATTATAACTTGGAAGGTTATGAATTTATAAATGTAGGAGTAATAAAGGAGGAGGCGGAATTTGATCTTTTCACAAAAACAACAACAAAATACATTTATTTCTAGATATAGTAAAATTAAATTTGGAAGATGAGGAAATATAAACATTTACTGTTGAGGTAGATGATTAAAAATTTTAGTATTTTCAATTTATAGAACTCTAAATTATAATATTTATCATTATATTATAAAATGAGAAAAATAACTAAATGAATTAAAAACATTTAGGCATATAGAATATCTCAGTGACATAAATATTAATATTAAAGAAAGGAATCATGAAAACAGTTATTTGATACAGTATCAAAAATTAATTGATGTATCTTTAGCGGAATGTGATACTTATTATGTATTGACAACGTATTTTAAAATAAATGTAATTCAGAAAAACAGCCCGGCATGGCCAGGTGGTTAAGGTGCTCGACTCGCAATCTGAGGGTCGCGGGTTCGAATCCCCCGTCACACCAAAGATGCTCGCCCTTTCATCCGTGGGGGGCGTTAAATGTGACGGTCAATCCCAACGAATAGTGTTAAAAGAGTAGCCCAAGAGTAGGCGGTGGGTGGTGATGACTAGCTACCTTCCCTCTAGTCTTACACTGCTAAATTAGGGACGGTTAGCGCAGATAGCCCTCGTGTAGCTTTGCGCGAAATCCAAAAAGACAAACAATTCAGAAAAAATATTTAAGTTTTTGAACAAAAAAAATGACGAATTTAATACAAATGTTGTATTTAACACTGCTTTCCTTGCTCTGTAAAATGTGTAATTAAAAGAACTTCTGTTATGGCGGTAGGTTAATTAATTGGATACATTAATAATTTCTATTCTGTTCGTCTATTTTCATTGCATTGTTTCAAGCACAAGAGTTTGTTTACAATTATATTCTAAAGTGAGAAAACAATGAACCCTTTCTGAAACCAACGTATTTATCATCACGTTTGATGCAATATTACCACAAATTTGAATAAATTCAGATGCTACGCAAAAAAAAAACTCGATATATGATTCTTTGTTTTATGTTTTAACTGAAGTTATGAATGAAGACTAATTTGAGATACGTTTTTATTACATTTATTCCTGAGAAAATGGTGTTTGACTTAGTTAGTTGTTATATTGTGTAAGTACACTGTTAACTTTGCTGAATTGGAATCAGTTTAAAAGTTGGGAGCATAGCTATTAAAATATTACGGTATTCTGGGAGAGGCAGTTTCGTTGGTGTAGTAAGTAGTACTTTTTCGTGTGTCGTGTCAGTGGAAAGTGTCATTTTTCGTAGAACGAAGGAATATCGTATGAGATTTCTCAACGGAGGCTTTCTTTATTCGGCCGGTTGGGAGAGAAAGGAAACTAACTCTTTAAGTGCCGGAAAAGATCGTGTTTGTTTTAACTTTAGTTATATTAGCTTCGAGTGTGTTGAGCGCAACAAGTTGTGAATATTTACTGGATAGGAAATGTTAGAGGAACTTTGTGGCTGCACAAATAACACAAATTTAGTACAGTGAGATTATAATTGGACTTTTCAAGGATTTTAAGTGTTTCTCACTCTTAATCCGGTGTGTGTTTGTGTGTGTGGGGAGGGGATCCTCAGTGAGATTATAATTGGACTTTTCAAGGATTTTAAGTGTTTCTCACTCTTAATACGGTGTGTGTGGTGGGGGGGGGATCCTCAGTGAGATTATAATTGACTTTTCAAGGTATTTTAAGTGTTTCACACTCTTAATCCGGTGTGTGTGTGGTGGGGTCGGGGGTCCTTAGTGAGTATTATAGTTGTACTTTAGAAGGTATTTTAGT